TTTAATAAAAATAAGTAGTGGATTGCTAAGAGTGGAATTATGTAAGATATTTCATTGGTAAGAGTGAAATTCATTTGGTGAAAAATTAAATATTTCTTGAAAGAAATAATTTGCAAAATTAGGATTTTCAATATGCTCTTTTTTTTGGTTCAATTTTTTTGTTAATAAAAACATATCTAGATACATATGTTGCCCAATATTAAACTTAAAATGTAAAAAAAGGAATAACAAATAAAAACTAAAACTATTAATCAAAATAATCCACGTGCAATGCACATGGGCATTTACTAGTTTAAGGAAGTGTGTATAACAACGCATTGACATTAACAAAACCTTTCCATGACTAGTATACTAACCCCCAACCTCAATCACCATGAGCGAAGAATGCAAATTCTTGGAACCTCGCAAGCAACCGAGCAACTCAATTACGAGTGATAAAGAACCTTCAAACCCCTCATGGTGAAAAATCATCTAAACACTTTGCGTTATACATTTGAATGTATTTCACGTTCATCAAACTCATCCACACAAGAGATAAAATAAGAATTTTCAATAACTTCCACATATCCCACAATTTGAAATTCTATAATTTTGAAAATAAAAGAGTAATCCAATCAAAACATGCAAGAGAAGGTAAAAAAAAGATATATCCAAGTTGACCATATTCAAGATCTAGGGTTTTTTTTATCATTAATAGATAATTTTTGGATGTAAACCATATAGTTTTTTCAAGAAACAAATCATGCAATTAAAAAGATTGTGAAATTATCACATGTCTATCATACATATTGTAATGGGAATAAAAAAGATATATACATAACCCTAATCCTCAATGAATACATTTGATCAAGAAACCCTAACTTAATCCATGAATAGTATATCCTAACATGTTTTGGTGCGACTAACATGCATTACCTTTCAAGATTAACCTGTTTCTCCCCTTTTTTTCTCTCCAAACTCTCCTAAGCTTCTTAGGGTTGAAAAATTACGTGTAGAAACCCTAAAACGTAGCCTTAGGGTATTTACAATGTTGAAAACAGAGAAAACCCTAAAAATTGATTGTGGCTACATTTGGCCAGACATCCAGACGATTCCAACATATTATTTCTCCTTATTCTGATCAGACACACAATTTATTTTTTGGACTGGCATCCGGATAGTTTTGTGGGCGTCCGAACGTTAATGACTTTTTGTCCTAGACTTCTGATTCGATTTTGATCTAGTTAAAGCTTGATTCACAAAAATCTATGAAATATACTTTTGTGTGTACGCGCGTATATGAGAGAATATATGCTAAGTGTTAGATGTAAGATGAAGACATCAAAGTGAGTGATTCACCCTAACCAAATGATTAATATTACGTCCACTGTAAAAGAGATTCTTGTTTTTTCGGAATTCTATTGTTTGTAGAAGAAGACTGTTGTTATAAGGTGTTTGGCTTGAAGTTTTTTACAAAATATTGCCTAAATTATTGTTGGGTAGTCTTTCTCTAGTGCCCTTTGCAATGTGGTATCGTTAGCTATTTAAACATTTGGCGGTTAGGGTTTCGTGGTGATCTCTTTTTATTGATTTTGTTGTTTCGTCTAGGTTTTGTCTTGTTCCTGAAGCTATTGTCCCTGACGCCTTTTTGCATCCACTACTCGCGCGATTGTAATACGTGATTCATACTCCATTATCGATGGATTTTTGTTTGTCAAAGTCGTCATTGTGGCTACATTTGGTGAGGCATCTGGAAGGTTCCAACATACTATTTCTCCTTATTCTGATGAGACACACAATTTCATTTTTTGGATTGACATCCGAATGATTTTGTCCCAGACTTTCGGTTCAATTTTAATCTAATTAGAGGTTGATTCACGAAAATCGATGAATACATTTTTGTAGTTGTTAAAATCTACTTTATAATGATATATGAATTAAGTCAATCAGCCATCAAAATAAAAAATTATGTCTAAAATAATATGGTAACGTCAAATTCCTTCTTACCCTAATTCTTGTTGGACCTTTTGTGGAGTCTAGTTTGTATGTTGATCTAGATGATGACTCGACCTGAAGTAATGTTACATGATTTTTTAATGAAAAATTTTCTGAGCCTTAGTCCATAGAGGGAAGCGCTTATGAACAAGCCTCGTGAGAGTTCGGGGGCAACGCCCCAAGGGAAATTTTTGGGCCTATTTTGTAGCCCTGTGCGTAGAACATATAACAGACCGCCACTTTGGTGATTAGGTTTTGATCGATGTGTATAGCCGCTCTCTGTAATCATCTCTCTCAATAGTAAAAATCCTACAGCTTCGTGGACGTAGGCAAATTGCCGAACCACATAAAATTTGTGTCTTGTTCTTTCTTGTTTCTTATTGTTTTATGTTCTTAATTTATTTTTCGATTGTGTGTGTTTGTCTGTGGATTTAAAACGTATTAAATCCCAACAATTCTCGTCCGTATTAAATGTTAGCACACTCTCTGTAATCATTTCTCTCAATAGTGAAAATCCTACAGTTTCGTGGACGTAAGCAAATTGTCGAACCACGTAAAATTTGTGTTTTGTTCTTTCTTGTTTCTTATTGCTTTATGTTCTTAATTTATTTTTCGATTGTGTGTGTTTGTCTGTGAATTTAAAACGTATTAAATCCCAACAATTCTCGTCTGTATTAAATGTTAGCACGCTCTCTGTAATCATCACTCTCAATAGTGAAAATCCTACAGTTTCGTGGACGTAGGCAAATTACCGAACCACGTAAAATCTGTGTCTTGTTCTTTCTTGTTTCTTATTGCTTTATGCTCTTAATTTATTTTTCGATTGTGTGTGTTTGTCTGTGAATTTAAAACGTATTAAATCCCAACAATTCTCGTC